CTGTTCGTCTCATTCAAAACATGCAGATATGGATTAAAATTTAAATTCTGTTAATTATTATGACCATGCAATAATTGTTATTTACTTGTTCTCCTGCTGATCAAAATTTCATTTTTAAAGAAATGTGAAAGAGAAATAAAAATTGTGACCACAAAAAAAAAACAGTATAGGTACACGTATATCTATTAATGTACTCAGTGCAGAATTCAGAATGGGCTGATTAATTTCTTAATAGATTCATATGTATGGAAAAAAACAATAACAAATCTATTTTTATAATGGTCAATTATAATGAAACTGGGATTTATTAGGCATGACAACATTTATACTGTATATATGAATTAAGCATAAAATTATCTGAAATATTAATCAAATGTGATTTAACAATAAAAAATTACAATATTTGAACATAAGAAGACACTTCCTGCAAAACATCATTATCCACAAAGTTTAAGTTTACAACTGTAATGATATTTCTCTAAGGGCAGTAAGGGTGTAACACAATTGTTACTTTAAAAAATGGGGGTTCTTTGACATAAATTTTGTACCATTTTTTAAATATTATAACAAATTCACAAAATGACTTACAAAGAGATGATCAATGATGCATGGCCTGTTCCAGGAATCATATAACTCAGACATCTATTACATATAACATCCATTTACTTTTTACATTAAAACACCAGCATTAAAACTTGCCTCCTATTTCAAATTTAAAGAAGCAGGAAGTCTGTTTTTAGTGCATGGAGCATACTCAGTATTGGAAATAAGCTACATATAATGGTAAAGGCATGCTATAAAGTTTACGGCGAAGTTCCAGCAAACTTGGGGACTGCTGTAAAGTTTGTTTGCAAAAATCCTTCAATTTTAAGAAAGTTAAGAGTTTGCGGCAAACTTGTGGCAAACTTTTACATTTGTTCGCCGAAAGGTTGCTGCTAGCGGCGAACACTGGTGAACAACTTTCAGGTCTTCTGGCGAACTAAAAAGATTGCAGCAAGTTTGCTGCAACCTTACCGCAAGGTTGCAGCAAAGTTTCTCATTTCATAAGGGTGCAGATATTAGATAACGTTTACAACTTATTTATACCGTTTTGGATTTGTCATGCAATAATTTGTTCTTACAAAATCAGCCAACTGTTATTTTTTGAAGAGCAAGATTATTTCATCTTAGGGCAGAATAGCATGATATTCAGTTCACCCTGCTAAAAAAAATCAAAGCAATTTTATTTTCAATGGCATATGGAAAATATCTTTAAATTAAAACTTTAGTTGGAATTTTCATTATAGGCCTTGGTACATGTATCATCCTGAGACTGCGATATCAGACCGTAGGCTTTATTATTGTAAACATATTTCCTACAGAAAGATAGCTCTTGGAAAGTGTTTTATCCCAAATGTCTTCACATTGATTTACTATTGAATCAGTAATAAGAGTTCTTTCTTGAAAACTTACAGATTAAGGATTGTGAATTAAAAAAAAAAACAAAACATAAAAAACATAAAAAACTATACATGTATATACATCATGAACATTATACCCTATTTCGCTCTAAAAACGAAGTACAAAAAGTTTTAAACACAGGAAGTTTAAATTGATTGATAAAAAAAAAACACACACAACATTCGGCACCGTAATTTAAATACGATTTTTATTTGTTTTGTTTTTTTATTTTTCAAGATAGTGAATCCCCAAAACGCATTCAATGCTTGAGCAAAAGAACTTAGGTATTACAAGGATGCATATATAGAGGTATATAAATATTAATACTGAAAAAGAGGGGAAGAAGATACCAAAGGTCGAAGACAAACTGGCAACGCCATAGCATAAAACGACAAGAAGACAAACAACAGTCTACAAACCACAGCCTAGAAATCTAGACTGAGCAACACGAGCCCACTTAGGATTCGAATTCAGGTGCTCCAAAGGGCAAGCTGATCCTGCTCAAAATGAGACAAAATAATGAGATGTGTTATGATTGTCAGATACAATGACTGTGGATGACTGAAACCATATCTCATTATAGGTCCTTCAACAATGAGCAAAACCCATACAGTATAGTAATCTTAATAAACAGCTGCGCCACGAGCGCATGATACGCCCGTCGTCTTGTGTATGAGGTTTTATGCAATTATCATAAATCGTTTCTGAGATACGGCGCGACATGTGAAAACCCCCCTTTTTTATAAAAAAATCAATAATACTAAAATATAATTTTGAATCATCACCAAAAAGTATACAGATCTTTAGATTAATATAAATTAATTAAGAAGTGTGTAAAGTTTTAAGCAATAATCATAAATCGTTTTTGAGATACGGCGCGATATGTGAAACTCCCCCCTTTTTTTTACAAAAACCTCAATAACTCTAAAATAAATTTTGAATCATCACCAAAAAGTATACAGATCTTTAGATTAATATAACTAAGAAGTGTGTAAAGTTTTAAGCAATAATCATAAATCGTTTTTGAGATACGGCGCGACATGTGAAAAAAACACCCCCTGTTTTAGATACAAAGTCCCGTAACTCAAAAAGTTTTAATCTTATTTTCACCAAAAAATATACAGATCGTTTGACTATCATAAGAAACAACTATGTTAAGTTTCATGAAATTTGGATAAGTCGTTCTCAAGTTACGGTGCGACATGTGGACGCCGGACAGACGGACAGACAGACAGACGGACGCCGGACATTTGTATACCAAAATTTTGACGGGCGTATAAAAAAACTCTGTCTTGAAAATTTTGTAACAATTCAAACGAGACAACCAACAACATGTAGAATCTATGATAAAATATGGCAGACAGCAACTAAAGATAGCCATGATTTACAGGCTCCTGACTTGAGACATGGTCATGGATAATGTAGCGGATTTGAAATGGTTGTGAACTCTCAGCCCTCTTCATAACCTAGGACAGTGGTGTAATAACAACATAAAAACAAACTACTTGTATACAAAACTAAGTGGAAAGGGCTCGACTCATCCGATCAACACAAAAACAGCAAATAAAAAGACAATGAATCAACCTATAAGAGTACTCACAGTTAATGAAATCCAATTTGAAGCCAAAACCAATTGATAACTCGTGTTTGTGAAAACTAAAATATCAATCAGTACACCACGGATTTAGTATGGAGACGTCATAACAATTCCGTGAATTGCATGACCATTTGCAATCCAAAATAGAAGTATCGGCAGGATGTAAGACAACAGTGTTCATAACTGTAGAAGCATATACATGCATAAATATATAGTTAACTTGATTTAATTTAAAACAAATTCAAAGATTGTCAATAAAGACACTTAACAAATACCTAACTACAGTGTTTAATTGAAGAACTTTAAGAATAAGTTTATTAAAAGGATCTATGAAAAAGTTAGTAAAGGTTTTCAGTAATTTGTGGGAACAAATCCCTCACTAATAGTTTACAAGTTATAAATATATTACTGTCATTGTGTTACTAATCTTAAATTTACTTTATTTTTTTATTTTAAAACCCATAAATAGGATGACAGGAATTAGAAAATTATTGAACATTACAACAGACCACATCGAAGATATTACCTAAGATAAACCCCGGTTTTTGGTGGGGTTCGTGTTGCTCAATCTTTAGTTTTCTATGTTGTGTTTTGTATACTGTTGTTTGTCTTTAGGTCATTTACTTGTTTGCTGTGGCGTTGTCAGTTTGTCAATGGCTTATGAGTTTGAATTTTTCTTTTTTATCTTCCGCCTCTTTTCTAGATGTCTCTTAATTTGCTTTGCGTGTTTCGTTAAGTTGCTGCCTTGTTGACGTATACTCTTAATTTATTATTCATATTCATCCATTTCTTATTCTTGGACGATCTATCGTATGGTGAACTCATATAATATTCCTACAGTGACTTTTAGTTATACCCCTGTTCCGATGGAGGAGTGTACTGGCTAACCAATGTCTGTCCGCCCATGTCATTAAATCAGATCTTCATGAAATTAAGTAGAATGTTTCATGTAAGCATGCTTTATCGTGTAATTTATTTTCATCAATATTTTAATTTCTAATAATAGAATACTTGTATATTCTTACACTTTACGGCCATTTAGGAATTTTTGGCGCATGTTTTTCATGAACTAAATGTACGAATAACAGATTACTGAAATTTAGAAACAATCATTTGAACAACCCTATACCACAACGCCAAATCTTTTGCAATCCACCCCTTTACTTAAATGCCGATGTGACTAATTTGACTTTTTTTCCAGGAAAACCAATGTTTCCAAAAGGTTCTTCTACAGCAAAACTGTTGGATAAGGTAAAAATTGTTACAGTTAGGCAAAACTTGTAGTCTCTTTAAAACACAGCGCATGTTGAAAAATTTAAATCGTTAACGTTTACCGTGGATTCTCTGCCAAATTTTGTCGCCGAAAGCTAGTTTTTGATATACGATGGCATCTTTAACCCTATTACCTGTGATACATGTAAATAGTCTCAGAAAACAAAAGTTCATAATACGACATTTATGTAACTTTTTCACTAATCAAAGGGGCCACGATTAAACACAACTAGCCTTGTATTACTCCATTTACATAAATTATCAACAAAAATAACAGAAAACAACGTATTAGTAATGGATGCGTTGAAATAGAAAATTAATGTAAGATACATAAAAAAAAGAAGAAAAAAAAAACAACACTGCAATCGGCTTCTATTCACGAATATATTCTGTTGTTGGAGGACTTTCATCAAACATAGAAGAAAATTAAGTTCTAACATACATTTTTTCAATCCCTATGAATGACACAGAACCATTGTCATCTTTGGACTTCTCTTATATTTGTCACTGGACGTTAAGCTAAACACCAATTTATTAAACAGCATGGTTCAAAAATAAAAGTTTAATATTTGGAAAAGGTATTGAATGACAATTAAAATGTTTTTTTGTTGTTTTTTTTTTCAAGAAAAGTAACTTGAAAAAATAACGAATACATAAATAACCTGATTTTGTTTTCATTTTATTTAGAACCCTGACGATTCACCATACAACTCTACGCTTCAGGATCGGATAACCCATTTAAAACAGTTTTGTAAATATCATCCAAATATATATTCCAACAGAAAGCTTATACACGAACCTCTAGTTGACAAAATATTTCGTGTAAAATACTGTTGGATAGAAAAAGTTGGTTCATCATTTATGAAAAGTTTCTTTAAACAATTCCATAAATACACACTGGAAAGAAATACAACACTTCACCACCAATCGAAGCATGGCAGTATGGACAAAGACTTAAATCAACAACACAAGGGAGATAACTTCACAAGGATAATGATAGTACGAGATCCTTTCGAAAGACTCTTATCTGGATACATAGATAAGTTTTTTTTGCCTAGTCCAATATTTTGGAAAAAGAGGGGCAAGTATATTATAAAACAATTTAGACCTAATTCGTCAGTGAAGGAACAAGCATGTGGACACAATGTTACGTTCTTAGAATTTATGCAGTATGTCGTCCATGTTACTAGTCGAGAAAAGAACATGGAGGAACCACACTTTACGCCAATGCACACACACTGTAAACCTTGTTTGATCCGTTACGATTATGTATGGAAACTTGAGACAATAATGCAGGATTTTAAACATACTATCGAACATCTTATATATATGAAAGATCTCCATATCGATGGTTTCAATTTCCGAATGGACAAAGAACATTTATCTTCGGATGTTATCTCTAGAATTGCGTTCATGTTTGAACGGAGATATGACATTGAAAAATGTATAACTTTCTACGAAGCCTGTTTGAGAACTTGGCGAGGATTTCAAATGAGAGGAGTTATTGACAAAATCCACAACTTCCCCCTTTTGTCACTTCCGGAAGATTTCAATGTTACGATGTACAAAGACCTTGTTCTAAAATCATCGAATTCGATCGAATACAATTCTAAAGTCAGAAGTCAGAAAGAGGAGGCATTTCTAGAGTCATACAGTTTGTTGCCATTGGAACTTTTAGATCGACTTGAAAGATCAGTTACTAACATTGATTGTGAAATGTTCAACTATAGACAAAGTCTCAAGATATTGTTGCAGGATTACAAAAGAGATAATTTTAGTTATTTTGACTTTCTATAGCTAGATTTCTAAAAATAGTTAAAGTTTCGTCTTAAATTAAGACAAAGTTTTGTAATTTGACAGCAATATAAACTACATAATATATATATAATTCGTCTCAAATTTAGCCCAACAATGTTAGATCTTTGTTCTTCCCTCAGCGGGATTCGAACCCTTGCGTGACATCGTGTCAACAAGGCCTGCACCGTGTCCAGCGACCTAGACCACTCGACCACCTAGGCTACATAAAAATATAGCTTTCGGTTGTCGATGTAATGCCTTTCTTCGTCGGCTTTATCTAGGGTTGTAACACAGTACATGATGTATAGTGGCAAGTAGATGGTATATATATACATATATTCGTATGTAAACACGTAAAGTTATATGAAAGAGGTTTCTGGTATATTTTATGCAAAGGATATTATTGAACCATTCTATGCAAATATAATTAATTAAGTCATGTGTGCACATTATTTTACATTTTCCTCGAATCCAAAACGTATATTCGACAAAAAATATTTCATTTGGTGATATGTTGAACGAAAAGTTTGGCAACTAATTAAATGTCGAGTGTTGTTGCCGATGACCGCGAATCTTGACCTTGATAAAAAAAGACACAGAAGCGTGGAGCATATGAGAAATAAGTGTGACGATGTTTAGTTGTTTTTCATATATTTTTCATGCGTTCCCATTTGGTTTTTTAACATCGTCATACATGTAACACTTATCATTTGATTCGGTTAAATTGAAAGATTTCTTTCTGAATCTGTTAATGTTAAATTTTTTCCACGATTTTTTACTTTTCATTTTTCACGGTTTTCTCTTCGCACTTGCGCTATGACTGTTGAATATCTAACGAAGGTGTCATTGTTAAGGTCACTGCATGTTGAAAAGCTGTCGGCGATTTAGACTATACGAGAAGACAATAATTAATTTACAGTACATTTTTTTAAAGATCTTGAAATAATAAAGGATTATCTTTTATAAGAAAGGTATACACGTTTTATAGGAAAACCTAGACATTCAAGTATATAAAACATATTATTCTTTTCTTTATAATTTAAAGTAATATATGACTTTAACTTATAAATAAAGTATAATTTACATAAGAATCAGGCATATAGGGCGGTAAATTCAATAAAAAATCTATTGATTTCAATACAAACCTATTTCTTGAATTAAATTTATACCTGGTTTACCTTTAGAAATCAGAAGCATTCACATATCATTCATCGAAGTACAAATCTATCTCCATTTTTTGCAAAATAAAACATAGGGTCATACGGCATTTTTGACCCATCACATGGCCTTGTTTACAAACACTTTAGATTCGCACAAAATTCCTACTCTGACCTGTGACTTTTCAAGCCTGTAGTAAAAACAAAATTAAGTGCATTCAACATTCACTTTTAAAAAAAAAAATGTTTTAACCCAAGTTTTGATCCATCTATCAAAAAATATTTATTACAAACAATTATAACTACCTATCAGTGGAGCACACGAATTAAGTGGTACTAGTATACAGAAAGCTCTCCCCTACATGGGCGGTCCTTTATGACGTATATTTAGTTACTGAATTTACCCTCGACAGGACATGGTTCAAATTGAATTATCTCCCGTTTACCAAAACAAATCTCAATTCTAAAGTATATTAACATTACAAAAGCATTATTATATGTATGCGAAATACATCTTGGGCTCTTTTCACAAAAAACATAAAAACAAAAAAAAAAACGCCTCGGTGGTATAGTGGTACCGTGGTCTCGAACCCCAACCGGGTCAAACCAAAGACTTTAAAATTGTTATTTGCTGCTTCTCCTTTAAGCACGAGGCATTAAGCAGTAAGAGCAAAGACTGGTCGGCTTGGGAGTCAGAATAATGTGTCCGGGTAAGGTGACATGTCTTCCTGCGGACTGTTACCTTGTGAACTAGTACGTTAAAAATCCGGCTCAGCGTGTCGGTCTAGTACAAAGCAGGATTAATATTCATATTACATTAACATGTTCTCGTCCTGATTATGCATATTATTTTCCGCTGGACGTTAAGCACCCATCCATCATCTTTTCACAAAAAACTAACGATCAAAATATGGTCGTAAGTTATACTGAAATGGTAATGGCTTGCGAATATTTTTTCTCGTTAGATTTTTTATGTCTGTAATATGTGATAACTGTGCGACAGACATTTCTCATTATAAGAGTAACATTGTACAAAAGGTCTAAAAACATTATCTATAATTTACAAAAACATTAGTTTGCAGATACATTTACTATTACTACTACAGATCCTATTGATTGATTGTTGGTTGCTGAACCAAAGTCGATACAAGAATCAATGTCATCACCAGAACATACTCTCTCACCTACTATTGTTATTGACAAACCAATAGGTAGCAATACACAGTAAGGAAAAAAATTTAAAATTGACACTCATAATTTTTAAACACCCTCTTTGCCTTCCTTTCTAACAAATAAGGCTTAATATTTGTGTTATGCATGTATATATTTGTGGAAAGAGAATCTTCCATAGATTTGATTTCCAATAGTTATAATGGTGAAATATAATCTCTTTTTGGTGTAACCATGGCAACAATCTGCATTTATTTGATATAAAATATTGCAAACAGGGGGGTAAACATGTCACAAAAGTCTCAAAAATTTGGTCAAAAGGAAAATTTAAATCAATTAGAGTGATACCTTTTCTGAAACCATAGAAATATATCTATCAAGCGGTAAAAAAAATCATATGCATTTCTGCTCGTTTTTCCATAAAATTGAATTGAAAAGACCGAGCGTCAAATCTTTGTTGAAAATTGAAAAACACTACAATAATTTCTAGACCTATGGGCGGTACGGATAGGAAAACACGGACTGTCAAACATTTAAATGGCCTATAAAACATGCTAAAAACAATCTAAATGTTCATATAAACCCACTTAGAAGGCTATATTATTCTTCAACTATCTAAAAATCAATTTTATTGTACAAAAACATTTATATTAAAAAAATTCACATGGCCATAATGCGAAACTAAACTTCTAACTGTGTATTGCTACCATAGATCTCTGTTTAAAAACATTAAATACAGCAATCGGTTATACTAGATCCCTGACGTCGGATCCCAGAGGAGAATCCATACCAAGTAGTAATGTTTGAAGGATGAGGATGTTAGACATTTTGTATGTATGCAAGATTATTTATTTAAAGGTACCTGCTTAGTTTCTTATTCATGTTAGTCGTGTACAGGCTTTGCAGACTCGTACGCGTAGATATTGTAAATGCAAATACTGTTCTCACTATTGCATAACTTTAGTGTAAATTATATTTTTATCCTGTTCCTTTTCGGATGTTTAGGCTAGAACAGAGTTTTCTCCAGTGAACCAATGTCGGTAAACGAGGCGAATGACTGATCCGCGATTGGACCAATGGTTACGCTCCGATTTCCAGAGATTTGGACCAATGGTTTTGCTTAAGAGTCCAATTGATGTTGGTTAAAACTGATTTCTTGGGTGTGCGTTTAGACTATTGAGCCTCTATAATGGCTTTAACCTAACCTAACCTAACCGAACTTGAATACTTTATTTACTCCAGACACGGTCGTTTCAACTTATATCGTAGCCAATAGTTATATTTGATACGTCCCAGCAACTTATTTGCATGTATTTTAAAATACATTACTGGTGACATTGACCCAGTTCACACGCAAATAATAATATGCCATGTCCGTAAAGTATATTTTTACTACGCCCTGAAAAAAACATCAGATAAGGTGGGACTCTGTATTAATCAGTCTCGTATAATAGGGTTTTGTTTTTTACATATTGTTATATTAAATTGATAATACTGTTGAGTAAATATGAAAACTTAACAAATCTTTCGTATTTTTCTTGAATATTCTGATCGTCTGCTAACACAGTCGTTATACAGAATATTACATTGTACTAGTGATTGCATATGTATACCATATAATCGTCCTGTAAGATAACCTTAACCATGGAGTTCAGTGGCAGACTTTGGTTCATGTCTGTCATATTTGTTTTTCGTTAATTGTTTTGTGATAAATTAGGCAGTTAGTTTTCTCAATTGAATTGTTTCAAATTTTTCAAGTCGGAACCTTTTATAGCCGACTACACGATATGAGTTATTTCTCATTGTTGATGGCCAACGGTTGCCTATAGTTGCTTACATCCACTTTATTTGAAATTTGGTCGATAGTTGTCTCATTGGCCATGGCAATCATACCTCATCTCCTAATGTTTATATTAAAGGGAAACTTCGCAAAAAAATGAAAAATTGATATTATGTTCATTCTGTATAAAAAAGCACAAATTCATAAACATTAAAGTTTTATTCTGCTATATAAGAGATCACCATCGATTTTAAATTTAGAGTATCAATTCTCTGCATGCGGCCATTTTGACATCTTCTCGGTTTAGAAACCACGATATATCTATAAACCACAAAGGACCAAAACCAGCAGTAACCTAACGTAGTCGTAATTGCGTGTCGATATCTTGTCAAGCATACAGTTGTTTTATCCGACAAGAAAAGCATAAACAGTTTCCCGGGTCACAAAAATGATTATATAGACATGGTTCTGCAACCTTTCCTAACTAACATGATACGGAAAATGTAATTTTTTTTTTTAAATAACTATATGGTCTGTCGTTTTTAAACTGTTTTTTTTTTACCAAGGATTTGTGTTTGTTACTATACAAATCTTGTTTTTACTAAGTTTTGAAACAAGAAATTTATATGGGAATTAGTTAAAAAGTCAAAGTTCAAAGTCATAAATAAATGTCCCGTGTATAATTGTTTTCGAAAATCTAATTTGTTCATAATTCTTTTAGTATGTAATAAACCAAGGCTCCGTGTTGAAGACCGTACTTTGACCTATAATGGTTTACTTTTATAATTTGACAATTTGTGACTTGGATGGAGAGTTGTCTCATTAGCACTCATACCACATTTTCTTATATCTAATTAGTTAAATAAATTCAGACCTTCCCTTATCTGATCACCAGCATGGCTAAAGGAATTATTATTCCCAGAGGTATTGTGAGGTGACACGTCCAGGTATTCAAGCGATTTCCTGTCGGGCTTAAAAACTCTTATTACACAATTAC